AAAGAATTTGAAATATTTCAAAAAAACTTTTTTTAATCAAAACAACCAAGAAAGTCTCAATACACGTTTAAAACAACATTTCAGGGAGCTTTGCTGAATTTTAGGCTCTTATTTTGAAAAGAAAGGTATAAACCATTTTTGAAAAGTTTCATGACCCTGGACATGCAAAAAAGTTCAAAGAATTTCAAATTTTTCAAAAATCATTTCACTCGAAACAACCAAGAAAGTCTTGGTACACGTTTCTGACAACATTTCCTGTAGTTTCGGTGAACTTTAGGCTCTTTTTTTGAAAATAAGGACTTAGCAATTTTTGAAAAAGTTCATGACCCCGGATCTGCAAAAAAGTTTAAAGAATTTGAAATATTTCAAAAAAACTTTTTTTAATCAAAACAACCAAGAAAGTCTCAATACACGTTTAAAACAACATTTCAGGGAGCTTTGCTGAATTTTAGGCTCTTATTTTGAAAAGAAAGGTATAAACCATTTTTGAAAAGTTTCATGACCCTGGACATGCAAAAAAGTTCAAAGAATTTCAAATTTTTCAAAAATCATTTCACTCGAAACAACCAAGAAAGTCTTGGTACACGTTTCTGACAACATTTCCTGTAGTTTCGGTGAACTTTAGGCTCTTTTTTTGAAAATAAGGACTTAGCAATTTTTGAAAAATTTCCTGACCCCGGATCTGTAAAAGAGTTCGAAAAATTTGAAATTTTTCACAAAACTTTTTTTAGTCAAAACAACCAAGAAAATCTCAATGCAGGTTTAAAACAACATTTCAGGGAGCTTCGCTGAATTTTAGGCTCTTATTTTGAAAATAAGGACTAAGCAATTTTTGAAAAAGTTCATGACCCCGGACTTGCAAAAAAGTTCAAAAAATTTGAAATTTTTAAAAAAATTGTTTTTACTCAAAACAACCAGGAAAGTCTCAATACATGTTCCGAACAACATTTCAGGGAGTTTCGGTGATTTTTAGGCTCTTATTTTGAAAAAAGGACGTAGCAATTTTTGAAAAAGTTCATGACCCCAGACTTTCAAAAAAGTTCAAAAAATTTGAAATTTTTCAAAAAACTTTTTTTACTCAAAACAACCAAGAAGGTCTCAATACACGTTCCGAACAACATTTGAGAGAGTTTCGCGGAATTTTAGGCTCTTATTTTGAAAAGAAAGGTATTAACCATTTTTGAAAAGTTTCATGACCCTGGACTTGCAAAAAAGTTCAAAAAATTTGAAATTTTTGTGAAAATTTTTTTTTGACAAAGAACGAAAAATGCTGAGAAAATAACTTTCTGAAATGTTGTGATGATAGTTGGTTGAACCTCCAAGTGATATCTGGAAAAAAGAAACAAAAAATATACCTAGAATGTTTAACACTAAAGCTTCGAAAAATACGAAAAAATATTACATTTTTCAAAAATCATTTCACTCAAAACAACCAAGAAAGTCTTGGTACACGTTTCTGACAACATTTCAGGGAGTTTCGCTGAATGTTAGGCTCTTAATTTGTAAATAAGGACTTAGCAATTTTTGAAAAAGTTCATGACCCCAGACCTTCAAAAAAGTTCAAAAAAATTTCAAATTTTTCAAAAAACTTGTTTTTCCCAAAACAACCAAGAAAGTCTCAATACACGTTCCAAGCAACATTTCAGGGAGTTTCGCTGAATTTTAGGCTCTATTTTGAATATAAGGACTTAGCAATTTTTGAAGAAGTTCCTGACCCCGGACCTGTAAAAAAGTTCAAAAAATTTGTAATTTTTCAAAAAACTTGTTTTTCCCAAAACAACAAAGAAAGTCTCAATACACGCTCCAAGCAACATTTCAGGGAGTTTCGCTGAATTCTAGGCATTTTTTTTGAAAAAAAGGACTTAGCAATTTTTGAAAAAGTTCATGACCCCGGACCTGCGAAATTTTTAAAAAAATTTGTTTACCCAAAACAACAAAGAAAGTCTCAAAACACGTTCCAAACAACATTTCAGGGAGTTTCACTGAATGTTAGGCACTTATTTTGTAAATAAGGACTTAGCAATTTTTGAAAAAGTTCATGACCCCGGACCTGCGAAATTTTTCAAAAAATTTTTTTTTCGCAAAACAACTAAGAAAGTCTCAAAACACGCTCCAAACAACATTTCAGGGAGTTTCGCTGAATGTTAGGCTCTTAATTTGTAAATAAGGACTTAGCAATTTTGGAAAAAGTTCATGACCTCGGACCTGCAAAAAAGTTAAAAAAAATTCAAATTTTTTAAAAAACTTTTTTTACTGAAAACAACCAAGAAAGTCTCAATACATGTTCCAAATAACACTTCAGAGAGTTTCGGTGAATTTTAGGCTCTTATTTTGAAAAAAGTATAAACCTTTTTTGAAAAAATTCATCACCCCGGACTTGCAAAGAAGTTCAAAAATTTTAAAATTTTCTGAAAATTTTTTTGTGACAAAGAAAAAAGAATGCTGAGAAAATACCTTTCTGAAATGTTTTGATGACATTTGGTTGAACCTCCAAGTGAGATCTGGAAAAAATCTAGAAAAAATAATACCCTTAGAATGTTTGAGACTAAACCTTGAAAAAACATTGAAAAATGTATGAACAATTTTTCAAAAATCGTTCTTTTCTCGAAACAACCTAGAAAGTATTTCGATAGGGGGCATTCCATTCTTATTCTACAGGGTGGGAACATATTCATTCGGGCTAATTTGGACCAGAATGAAAATGCTCCCCTCTCAAAAAACTTCACTTTCTTTCGAAAGATCTCAAACTTGGGTAACAAACAATGCCTCTTAAGGTAGTGTATTAAATTGAAGCAAGTATTTCCAAAGGGGGCATTCAATTCCTATTCTACAGGGTGGGAACATTCTCATTTGGGCTCTTCCTTACCTGAATGAAAATGCTCCCCTTTCAAAAAACTTCACTTTCTTTGAAAATATTTCAAACTTAGGTGTCAAACAATGCCCCTTAAGGTAATGTATTAAATTTAATCATATATTTCCAAAGGGGGCATTCCATACTTATTCTACAGGGTGGGAACATTTTCATTCGGGCTAATCTGGATCTGAATGGAAATGCTCCCCTTTCAAAAAATTTCACTTTCTTTGAAAACATTTAAAACTTGGGTAACAGACAATGCCTGTTAAGGTAATGTATTCAATTTAATCAAGTATTTGCAAAGGGGGCATTTCATACCTATTCTACAGGGTGGGAACATTCTCATTCGGGCTAATCTGGACCTGAATGAAAATTCTCCCCTTTTAAAAAACTTCACTTTCTTTGAAAACATTTAAAACTTCGGTATCAAACAATGCCTCTTATGGTAATGTATTAAATTTAATCAAGTATTTCCAAAGGGGGCAATTCATACTTATTCTACAGCGTGGGAGCATTTTCATTCAGGCTAATCTGGACCTGAATTGAAATGCTCCCATTTCAAAAAACTTCATTTTCTTTGAAAACATTTAAAACTTGGGTAACAAACAATGCCTCTTAAGGTAATAAATTAAATTTAATCAAGTATTTCCAAAGGGGGCATTCCATACTTATCCTACAGGGTGGGAACATTTTCATTCGGGCTAATCTGGACCTGAATTGAAATGCTCCCCTTTCAAAAAACTTCACTTACTATGAACTTATTTCAAACTTGGTTAACAAACAATGCCCCTTGAGGTAATGTATTAAATTTAATCAAGTATTTCAAAAGGGGGCATTTCATACCTATTCTACAGGGTGGGAACATTTTCATTTGGGGTAATCTGGACCTGAATGAAAATGCTCCCATTTCAAAAAACTTTACTTACTATGAAAATATTTCAAACTTGGTGAACAAACAATGCCTCTTAAGGTAATGAATTAAATTTAATCAAGTATTTCCAAAGGGGGCATTCCATACTTATTCTACAGGGTGGGAACATTTTCATTTGGGCTCTTCCTTACCTGAATGAAAATGCTCCCCTTTCAAAAAACTTCACTTTCTTTGAAAATATTTCAAACTTAGGTGTCAAACAATGCCCCTTATGGTAATGTATTAAATTTAATCAAGTATTTCCAAAGGGGGCATTCCATACTTATCCTACAGGGTGGGAACATTTTCATTCGGGCTAATCTGGATCTGAATGGAAATGTTCCCCTTTCAAAAAACTTCACTTTCTTTGAAAACATTTAAAACTTGCGTAAGAAACAATGCCTGTCAAGGTAATGTTTCAAATTTAATCAAATATTTCCAAAGGGGGCATTTCATACTTATTCTACAGGGTGGGAACATTTTCATTCAGGCCTATCTGGACATGAATTGAAATGCTCCATTTTCAAAAAACTTCACTTTCTTTGAAAACATTTAAAACTTGGGTAACAAACAATGCCTCTTAAGGTAATGTATTAAATTTAATCAAGTATTTCCAAAGGGGGCATTCCATACTTATTCTACAGGGTGGGAACATTTTTATTTGGGCTAATCTGGACCTGAATGGAAATGCTCCCCTTTCAAAAAACTTCACTTACTATGAAAATATTTCAAACTTGGTTAACAAACAATGCCCCTTGAGGTAATGTATTAAATTGAAGCAAGTATTTCCAAAAGGGGCATTCAATTCTTATTCTACAGGGTGGGAACATTTTCATTTGGGCTCTTCCTTACCTGAATGAAAATGCTCCCCTTTCAAAAAACTTCACTTTCTTTGAAAATATTTCAAACTTAGGTGTCAAACAATGCCCCTTAAGGTAATGTATTAAATTTAATCAAGTATTTCCAAAGGGGGCATTCCATACTTATCCTACAGGGTGGGAACATTTTCATTCGGGCTAATCTGGATCTGAATGGAAATGCTCCCCTTTCAAAAAACTTCACTTTCTTTGAAAACATTTAAAACTTGCGTAAGAAACAATGCCTGTCAAGGTAATGTTTCAAATTTAATCAAATATTTCCAGAGGGGGCATTTCATACATATTCTACAGGGTGGGAACATTTTCATTCGGGCTAATCTGGATCTGAATGAAAATGCTCCCCTTTCAAAAAACTTCATTTTCTTTGAGAATATTTCAAACTTGGGTAACAAACATTGCCTGTTAAGGTAATGTATTAAATTTAATCAAGTATTTCCAAAGGGGGCATTCCATACTTATTCTACAGGGTGGGAACATTTTCATTCGGGCTTATCTGGACCTGAATTGAAATGCTCCATTTTCAAAAAACTTCACTTTCTTTGAAAACATTTAAAACTTGCTTAAGAAACAATGCCTGTTACGGTAATGTATTCAATTTAATCAAATATTTCCAAAGGGGGCAATTCATACTTATTCTACTATGTGGGAACATTTTCATTTGGGCTCTTCCTTACCTGAATGAAAATGCTCCCCTTTCAAAAAACTTCACTTTCTTTGAAAACATTTAAAACTTGGGTTATAAACAATGCCTGTTACGGTAATGTATTCAATTTAATCAAATATTTCCAAAGGGGGCAATTCATACTTATTCTACTATGTGGGAACATTTTCATTTGGGCTCTTCCTTACCTGAATGAAAATGCTCCCCTTTCAAAAAACTTCACTTTCTTTGAAAACATTTAAAACTTGGGTTATAAACAATGCCTGTTACGGTAATGTATTCAATTTAATCAAATATTTCCAAAGGGGGCAATTCATACTTATTCTACTATGTGGGAACATTTTCATTTGGGCTCTTCCTTACCTGAATGAAAATGCTCCCCTTTCAAAAAACTTCACTTTCTTTGAAAACATTTAAAACTTGGGTTATAAACAATGCCTGTTACGGTAATGTATTCAATTTAATCAAATATTTCCAAAGGGGGCAATTCATACTTATTCTACTATGTGGGAACATTTTCATTTGGGCTCTTCCTTACCTGAATGAAAATGCTCCCCTTTCAAAAAACTTCACTTTCTTTGAAAACATTTAAAACTTGGGTAACAAACAATGCCTGTTAAGGTAATGTATTCAATTTAATCAAGTATTTCCAAAGGGGGATTCCATACTTATTCTACAGGGTGGGAACATTTTCAATCGGGCTAATCTGGACCTGAATGGAAATGCTCCCCTTTCAAAAAACCTCACTTTCTTTGAAAACATTTAAAACTTGGGTAACAAACCATGCCTGTTACGGTAATGTATTAAATTTAATCAAGTATTTCCAAAGGGGGCATTCCATACTTATCCTACAGGGTGGGAACATTTTCATTCGGGCTAATCTGGATCTGAATGGAAATGCTCCCCTTTCAAAAAACTTCCCTTTCTTTGAAAACATTTAAAACTTGCGTAAGAAACAATGCCTGTCAAGGTAATGTTTCAAATTTAATAAAATATTTCCAAAGGGGGCATTTCATACTTATTCTACAGGGTGGGAACATTTTCATTCGGGCTTATCTGGACCTGAATTGAAATGCTCCACTTTCAAAAAACTTCACTTTCTTTGAAAACATTTAAAACTTGGGTAACAAACAACGCCTCTTAAGGTAATGTATTAAATTGAAGCAAGTATTTCCAAAGTGGGCATTCTATTCTTATTCTACAGGGTGGGAACATTTTCATTTGAGGTAATCTGGACCTGAATGAAAATGCTCCCATTTCAAAAAACTTCACTTTCTTTGAAAACATTTAAAACTTGGGTAACAAACAATGCCTCTTAAGGTAATGTATTAAATTGAAGCAAGTATTTCCAAAAGGGGCATTCAATTCTTATTCTACAGGGTGGGAACATTTTCATTTGGGCTCTTCCTTACCTGAATGAAAATGCTCCCCTTTCAAAAAAATTCACTTTCTTTGAAAATATTTCAAACTTAGGTGTCAAACAATGCCCCTTAAGGTAATGTATTAAATTTAATCAAGTATTTCCAAAGGGGGCATTTGATTCTTATTCTACAGGGTGGGAACATTTTCATTCGGGCTAATCTGGATCTGAATGAAAATGCCCCCCTTTCAAAAAACTTCACTTTCTTTGAAAACATTTAAAACTTGCGTAAGAAACAATGCCTGTCAAGGTAATATTTCAAATTTAATCAAATATTTCCAAAGGGGGCATTTCATACTTATTCTACAGGGTGGGAACATTTTTATTCGGGCTAATCTGGATCTGAATGAAAATGCCCCCCTTTCAAAAAACTTCACTTTCTTTGAAAACATTTAAAACTTGCGTAAGAAACAATGCCTGTCAAGGTAATGTTTCAAATTTAATCAAATATTTCCAAAGGGGGCATTTCATACTTATTCTACAGGGTGGGAACATTTTCATTCGGGCTAATCTGGATCTGAATGGAAATGCTCCCCTTTCAAAAAACTTCACTTTCTTTGAAAACATTTAAAACTTGCGTAAGAAACAATGCCTGTCAAGGTAATGTTTCAAATTTAATCAAATATTTCCAAAGGGGGCATTTCATACTTATTCTACAGGGTGTGAACATTTTCATCGGGCTTATATGGACCTGAATTGAAATGCTCCACTTTCAAAAAACTTCATTTTCTTTGAAAACATTTAAAACTTGGGTAACAAACAATGCCTCTTAAGGTAATGTATTAAATT